TTTTACACAGTTTTTAGTCGTTTTCTTCTAATATGTCTGATAAAGATACCACGCCAATGGCTCACGCTGCCTGCACCGCCGACAGCTCTCCTAGTCAGGAGAATTCTGTTCATGTTTTAAAAGACAAAGACCTTGCTATATCCCTGGATAATATAAACAAAAACATGGGTAAAATGGCCAGCATTTTGGCTGAATTGTATGATCAGCTTGACACAGACGAACGCCCCCCGAGCTTAAAACGAAAGTCCATATCCGACCTCCAGGATGTTTCAGACTCTGACTCCGAAGGAAATTCTCGTCAGTCCGGCAAACAAAAGCGTTACGATAACCAAACAGTAGGCAATTTAAGTCTCCACGCTAGTGGTGACGAGCTGGACGACGAAAATTACATTCAAAGGCTCATCGAGTGTTCAAAGGCCAACGGCCAAAAACAGCGGGAAACTCCCGCTAAGGAAACAAAGCTCCTTCAAGATTTTGCCAACAGTTACGACGAGGATGACGCCACCGGCGACGAAACGTAGAAAGAGTTAGCTGATATTACTAAAAAACGATGGGACAAGAAACTTTCCCCTGAAAAAATTAAAAGTTTAGTCGAAAAGTGCAAACGACCTCCGAACTGCTCTGACATAAAGGGTGTAAAAGTAAATCCAGAGATATGGGGCCAGTTAAATGCCAAGCAGAGGAAAACAGACCTGAGGATATCAAATCTACGAAAAATTATCCGCAAAACTACCTTTGCAAATTTGCAAACAACAAACATGTTGATTAGTAATAATTCCTCTGTTCCAGACAGTCAATAACAAAATCATGGCACAACCAATCGACACCATTTCAATGTTGGAGCATGCAAACAGACAACTAGCCCAGTTTCGAAGAGATGAAATAAAACCAGCACTGAAAGCAGAATACTTTGTCATTTGTTCTGCTGAAGTACCCATCGGTAGCTAGTACCTTTATGGAGATGACGTGGCAAGACAATTGCGAGATGCCAAAGAGGCGAGCAAAATCAGGTATTCTGTTAGCTCAGCATCTAATACCGGGCCTTATAAAGGAAAACAACACAGTTCAAACCAACATGACCGCTACACCGTCTAAAGGCCCCAAAAAAGAGTTTTTATGGAAAGGCCACAATCGGTCCGACAGAAGGAAAAATTACCAAACAACAAGAAAAAGTTATGAAACAACTGTCTCAAATAAAGGATGAGGTAAGTGGTTTGAACTTTTTCTGCCTACCTTATTGACTAAGTTTGCAACATTTATGCAACTCATTCAAAGCAGCGGAGGTAACTACTCACTTCGCAGCTTGGAGGACACTTCCTAGTACCAGTATACTAATGTCTGATGTTTTGAGAGCAAGTCTAGAATGTATTGCTACCCCTGTCTGACACAGACTGCCAAACCAAGCTTTTTCAGAATGTGAGTTCCCCATCGTTCGTTATGAGGTGGATAAATTGCTTGAGAAAGGTGTCATTACAAAGACATCACCTATGCCTGGACAAATTTTGTTCAGCATATTTCTTTGCCTCACGAAGGATGGGGAAGGTGACGTCTAGGAAATTAATGGTCTGTTTGCTGGCCTCTTACAAAGAATGGGACTTAATCTGAAGAGGTTTAAGAAGGCAGTCAGCCACTATCATTTTAAAATGGACTCGCTTTCCACCATAACAAAACTTGTAACCAAAAATTATAGCTGCTATTGACTTTAAAAGATGCCTATTATTCTATTCCCATCAGATCTTAAGATCGAAAATTTTTACGCTCTATTTGGGAGGACACTTTACATGATTCACCTGCCTTCCCATTGGTTTGTCATGCGCTCCAAAGATTTTTACTAAAAATTTTTAAACCCCTACTATCTGCTTTCCATAAGGAAGGTCACATAGTTGTCGTACATCTGGATGATCTTTACTCGCAAAGACATGACCACTCAGAGTCTCTTTGGTTTCTTTTTGAAGACCGCAATATACTTATGGCTTTGCATAATTTGTTCATTATTTGTGTGTCAATTAACAAGGAAGTAAATTGGCATATTGATTGAAGTTTATCGTCGCTTAAAGGTAAAATTAAATTTTGATCCATGGATTAGGATGCCCACGAAAAATGATAACTCTCAGCAGTAAGGAAACGAATTGATAACTTTGATGGCGAACAGGTGGATGTGGGATCGTGCTTTTTTTACATCAGAGGGCGAACAAGCAAAGACGATAGGGGGGCGATTTTGCAATCGGCCGATATGCCCATAGAACATATGGTGCTCTCAGGCCGAGAACTTGCAGAAATGTTTGTCATGAGGAAATTCTAATGTTTTCCGGTTCGTTAAGTGTTATGAATTCCATTTCTTTGATATGCAAAATGTAAAACCATATATGTCTTGAGCTTCTTCTTGTATGTAAAATCGATTAAAGGTATTCAGCTTTCAAGACCAAACAAAAATTTCGTTATTGACGTTTGAAAATGTAAATGTTTCTCATTACAAATTTTAAAGCACCTGCAAAGATTATCCATGCAAATAAAACGAAAAATGTTTCGCAAGCGAAAAATCTAAGATACCCTTCTGTAAGTGTATCAGAGGTAAGTGAACCCGATGTAATTTTGTAGTTTGTCAGCCATAAAAAAATGTACTTTAAGAGAATTGTAATAAAGTAGCTCTAGAAGAAGAGAGTTTCGAAAAGATGTGAGGACAATATATGACACAACCAGTTTTTGCTTTGCTGGTAATCATTACGACAAACAATATATATATTTCTCACATAAACTGCGGTGTTATACAGGGATTTCCGGCCCTGAGAAAAGCCGTAACAACACACGTAAAAAAATATCGTATTTTTTCACGCTCGTTGATATACCCAATCAGCTTGCCGCACCTGGTGCTAATCCTCCCGTTTCATCTGTGCTCGGCATTCTCAAAGGGCCCAGTATGTTCCCCTCCAAGGATTTTTCTGTCTTTTCTCTAACGGATCTCCACTTACCTCTAATACATTTACAAAAATGAATTTGATTTGTAGTCAACAACACAAGTTTCATTCTCCTTGCGAGGATCATCTTCTCCGTAGGAACTCTAAATATTAAAGAAAGAAAATCAGTATGCAGAGACACCAAAAGGATGATGGCAGCCTTTTTCGTTTAAGAAGGCTCCAAAGGGATTTTTGACCGCGCGAGATCTAGGTGCGAACATAGTGCGAGCTTTAAAAGTGTCAATATGCATAGCAAACATGGCGGCTCGATATGATCGCACAATTGTTATCTGAAAAGGTGTGTTAAAAAACATTTTAGCAGTTTTCATGTGATGGAATCTAGGGCTTCCAGCAACTGCACCCGTAATATTTACAGGCCTTCTACGGCTGAAAAAGAGGTCAACCGAAAAGAAAACACCGTGGGAAAGACTGCCACAAGGCGACAGATCGCGACAGATTCGAAAGTTTACGCATACTCAGATACAGATCTTAACGAGGTTCTATTCCATTACGTGATGTTTTACGATAACGAAAATAGGGATCTCTCGAGCAAAATTTATCGCGTTTCCTTCGATGGAATTTCCTATGATTTGCTGGATCATAAAACACGTTTGTGCCCTTCTAATACTTGTTGATAACAAAAATTCATAAGAGATTCATCGAAGCAAATTGAAGAATATCACTGGCAAAGCCAAATTATTACTGGCGAGCGCCTCCTTTCTTGGAGCCTTAGCTCAATAATGAAAATCATTTTGATAATATTTACTACAGCGAACGATATGCCAAACCTTCCTCATCGCCCTTTTGGTGGCATTTAGTGACCTAGAAAAGCGAAAAACATAAAAAAATTACTAGAAAAACAATACACTGCTAATGGTGAGCAAAACTGTATGGAGTCTCAGTCCTATAGCTAAAAACTTACTGCCTCTTGTCGGTCTGTATTAAATTTTAAAAGAAAGAAACTCGTAACATAAACAGTTTTTGTTTTGAATAGTCCTAAAACGAAATCGTTCCACTTTATTTCTAGATTAATTTCTACGTTGGCTTCTTCTGTGTTATTTCTAACTACATTTCTTCAACCTTAAATCTTTAAAAAAATTTATACAAGATTATGATTCATCTTAAGGTACATTCATTTCACGAAAGGATGCCTTAGTGAGGAGTTCTCGTTCCTTCTCTGGTGAGAATCTCGGCGTTTTTCATAACAGGTGCTTCTCGACACCGATAACTCTAGAAAGATATTGTATTCTTTGGAATCAGTTGACTCAATTGAGAGGCGAAACAACTTAATTGTTTAACATGACCTAGTTGTTTATAAAGGTTGATAAAACCCCGTAGAAACATGAAATATTTTAAAAGGCTAGAGTTTCAAGTGTTTTATCGCGTTGTCATCATTTCAACTTCCCGAGCTTTCCAAGCCCAGCATGTGCCCTCGAGACCCAGTGACTTCCATTCGACGTTACTTGCATTGCAGCAGCACACTGACCGCTCAAGTACATGAAAGGAAAGACCATTTGAACTGTTTTGCATTCCTTTTCATGAAATCATCTGGTTCGGAAGCATTTAATTCTAATGGTAAAAATTCCCTGAAACAAGAGATTCCGCCCAGTAGTTAGGGGAGAGTATTTCTATTATATAATTGATGATTCATAACAGCTGTCCGCTCTACCTAAGATATTATGATCATGATAATAATGATTATAGAGGATTATTTACAACTTCTCAATCAGCGTATTCTTCGCGTCATTGAAGAGATGAATATGGATACCACAAGTTAACGAGGTGTATTCTTTTAGTTAATTAATTAATTTAGAAGGACTGAACGCTCTATCAGGGGTATAATGATTATAATAATGATGATGATAAATGTTTGTGTAACGCTTCCCGAGCGCATTATTCGCGTTTTAGGAGCGTAAAAGAAATTGTTGCAAACTATTTCTTCACTTTAAGAATGCATCTTCACTTGCTAACCTAGCTAGGTCGCCGCTCAAAGTCAAAGAAATTTCCACATCAGTTCACGTAAAAAGCTTTCCATGGAGAATGAACATGTATCTGTGGATATTTAATCTCGTCTGTTCAGCTGTGTACGGCATAAGCCGTATTTCAGGGCCAAATTTGAAAGCTGTTAACTTTGCCAAAGAGTTAGAAGGACAAAAGCTGAAGGGAAGCCTGATAAAAGAAATAGAAGTTTATTCGGAAAGTTCTTGTCGGTTTGAGTGTGTGAATGAAGAGCGATGTCAATCCTACAACTTTGGAACTTTAGAGGGCGACTCAGGGAAATTCAAATGTCAGCTAAGCGACTCTGATCGATTTGTTGGATTTGCAAACTTTACCGAAGACGAACATTTCATTTACAGAGGAATAAAGGTAAGCTTAATCTCTTTAGGTGTATAAAAAAATTACTTGCGGCTCAATCTTTGAATCTTATCTCTAAAATTGGAGCTGGAACTCTTTTTAATGTTTTCTAACAGTGATACACCAACCTTGCTCTAACTTATATAAGTCATCAAAGTTTTTAAGAATCTTGCGGCAACCTGGTGGGAAATTTGCTGATGTCTACGTCAGGGAAAGAAACTTGGTAGAACCGTGATAACCAAAAAAAGTGTGACCTTGACAAAAAGTACTAAAACTATTTTAAGGAAATAATTTTTGCAATGAAGAGCTGGTAATCGAGTTTGTACAATAGGAGAAATAAACCCGGCTTTATTTTTGATATAAATCCTGCTGATGAAGATTCCATTGTTTTTTCCCATCCGTAGATCAATCGAAGGTTTGCCCCGTCACAAGTTCGCCCCCTTAAAGCAAAACAAGTTCACCCCAAATCTTTCAGCGCTTAGTTTTAAAGCAAGCCAAGCTTTCTAATTGATAAAATTTTCTGCCGTCGTCAGCCCAAATAAAGAGCGCGACATACTTTTTTGTTGGTCACAAAGTACAAGTTTGATGGTTTCGTTCGGGTTGTTTTTGAATACTCCTTATGCGATCAACACGATGCACAGCTGAGGCCGTAGGATGTTTTTCGGAAACCAAAATCAAAAGTTGAATAACGTGGGTAATAATAAGCCTTCGGGGCTCAAAAAATTCTGCGCAACTCGAAAAATATCCCGCGTATTAGATGTGAAACCATCGAATAAAGTGTGTGTTTTTTTTAGGGCCGTGACTCTTACATATTTAAAAGGAATTAAAAAAAACACGAAAAGTTAAGATTTAGTTTAGTAGGAATAACGATGAATCAATGATAGTTTTGAAATACTTCCGAGGTGGCTATTAATTATGAATGTGGAAAAAATTCTGATGGCATCAGTTCGTTGACCTGGTGTTGACCACCAAACCCTCTAGCTATAGATAAAACTTTTACGTTTCTACCTTCTAATTTCTGTTTATATTCTGAGTTTTTTTTCTTTTAAAATTTAATACATGATTGACAAGAGGTAGTAAGTTTTCAGCTATCGAGAGGAGGCTCCAGAGGGTTTTTGCTCAATATTGGCTGGCGCGCCAGCATATTGTTTTTTCTAAAAACGTCTATTTTCGCTTTTCTGTGTCTCTAAAAGTCAAGGGCGACGAGCAAGGCTAGGACTATCGTTTTCTGTAGTAAATATTATCAAAACGATATTCGACATTGAGCTAAGACTCCACCGAGGGAGGCGCTCGTCAGTGTTAAGTTTTGGCTTTGCCTTTGATTTTCTTCGATTTGCTATTATGAAACCCCTCAAAATTTTCACAATCTGTGAAATTTGTTCCGCAGATCATTTAAAAGCCGAAATTTTCCTTGCTATGAATTATGAATTTTTTTTGTCAACAGGTACTAGGAAAGGTGCAAATATGTTAAACGGCCCAGCAAATCTTAGGAAATTCCATCAAAGGAAACGCGATAAATCCTGCTCGAAAGCTCCCTATTATTGGAATAGAACTTCGCCAAGATCTGTATCTGAGCATGCGTAATCGGTATTTTGTTTTCGGTTGACTTCTTTTTCAGGCACAAAAGGCTTCGAAATGTTACGGGTGCAGTTGCTGGAAACCCTAGATTCCATCACATAAAAACTGTTTATGGTTTCGTATCTAGCCGCCATGTTTGTTATGCATTTTGACACATTTAAGCTCGCGCTATGTTCGCACCCAGATTCCACGCGGTCAAAAAACCCCATGGAGCCTTCTTAAACGAAAAATTCTGCCATCATCCTTTTGATATCTCTTTTTAAAATGATTTTCTTTCTTTAATCTTTAGAGCACCTGCGAGGAAGATGATCCTTGCAAGGAGAATGAAACTTGTGTTGTTGACTACAAATCAAACACTCATTTTTGTAAGTGTATTAGAGGTAAGTGGAGATCTGTTCGGGGAAAGACAAAAACAACTCTAGGAGAGGGACATACTGAAAATGCCAAGACAGACAAAACGGGTAGATTAACACCAAATGAGGCAAGGGTACGAAATATCAAGGATTAAACGTCTACTCCAAAAACATCTAGAGAGAGAGAGAATAAATATTTTTTGTTATCGTCAAAGTGTTTTACTTTTTTTTGTTATTTCTAGATTGCCCCAAGAACTGTCTTGACTATGATCAAAATGGTTCCAAAACCGACGGTGTGTACTGGGTTTACCCTGATGAAGAAGAACCTTTTCAAGTGCTGTGTGACATGACATCTGATGGTGGAGGATGGACCATCTTTCAAAGGCGCATGGATGGCTCCGTAGACTTTTATGTCGACTGGGAATCATACAAAAGAGGCTTTGGAAATCTTGAGGGCGAGTTTTGGCTCGGAAACGATTATCTTCACCGTCTGACTGCATCTGCCAGCATGGTGTTTCGAATTGATATGGAGGATTACGAAGGTGACCGACGATTTGCCGAGTACACGACTTTCGCTGTGGCCCATGAAAGCGATGATTATCGGGTGACGATCGACGGGTATCGAGGCACTGCAGGCAATGCATTGGTACCATCTGTCGGAAATGCTATCAGGTTTGTTAAAGGCATTTCAATTTTTTGTGCCATGCAGAAAGAATAGAAAATATCCTTCCCAAAAAATGAATAAAAATAGTTATGATTGTCTAAAGGTGAAGATCCCAATATTTAAGTTGATCAGCTCTTACTACATGTGCAGAGAAAGCATCAATGCGGAATTAAATTCAAGTATATTGCTGACCATAATTGCCCCTTTTATATTGATGATGCATCGGTCTATGCTGCATTTTTAGCATCACGATACCTTTCTGTTTCCTGTTCAAGGAATCATTCCTCGTACACTTTTCTGACAATGCAGCGCTTCTTGGATATTTCTGGTCAAGCAATTCTACCAGCAGCATTGCCGCCCAGCCTCTCGTCAGTTTCTTACAAAATTCTTTTTTCGTCATAGAAATATGAGCTTCACAACCAGGGACAGAGACAACGACGTTGAGCAAGATGGAAACTGTGCAGTGGCATTTAGAGGTGGCTGGTGGTATAGTGCTTGCCATGTCGCAAATCCAAATGGTTTGTACCAAGGTGGAAGTCTCGCACAAGGAATTACGTGGGCACCATTTCGAGGACAAGAATATTCGTTAAAACACATCGAGATCAAACTTCGACCAGTATGATTTCATTTGAAGAAGTTGCACGTATAAGCCTTTTTTGCAAAGTGATAGTTGTAATAATAATGATAATATCGATAATAGTGATGATAATAATAATAACAATAATAGTAATGTCTTTATTCGTAGTGAGAAAAATGCACATCAAGATGTTACATGCTGGATGCCGAAAATGAGAGATTTAAGATTTCATCTTTTTAGCTATATTATACCTAAAAGTAGATATATTAAAGAAACACCACAACAACAGCGTATTTTATTTACATTTGGTCTTCACCAGGATCTGTTTCAAAGGCGCACAGATGATTCTATATCTCTGGTATAATAACTATGTAACGGATGGTCTTCATATTTTAAGTCATTTAAAAAGACAGCCGTCTCTATTACCTTAAAGCTCGTGAATATCATGACTTATTGAAGTGTCGCCGTTCTTGTGAAATCTTTTTTAAAAAACCTTGCATAGTATAGTAAAGTCAGAAATACTAGCTGCATAAATCAAAAGGGCATAACAAATTTTTGAAATCACAATCCCATTGAAAAGGATGTTTGTTTTTTCCACCTTGGGGAGCTTCTTCTTTGCGCAGGCTTTAATTGCAATAAACTATTATGGGTTTCATGGACCTTGACTCTGATATGCGAACTTAACTTGCAATTACCTTGTATCGTGACTCCCCATAAAGGAAGGCTGCTATACTGCTTGATGTCGTAGAAGTGGAAAAAATTAAGTTGATTTACCTCTCTTACGTAGGACTAATCCCTCATCCCTGCTGATGTTAGAGTGCATGCTATTTGCAGCAGTACAGTCCATTAACCTTAGATAAAAGCAAAGTCAGAGATATCTGGTAAATCGCTACCTATCAAGAGATAGAGATATCTGCCCTGTGCTCATTGATTCTTGTAAAAGTTTGTAATTATTGTAAGATAGCTTGTAAGAGGAATGGCATTAACCGTAAAGTACGTAAGTACGTAGTAAGTACGGTAAAAGTGTACGTTTTGCTGTCTGCGATACAACACAAAAGTAGAATTGCACACCCTAAGTAAAGTATTCATGTAAAATATTTTATTCACTTGTAATTTGATGTTGTAGCATTGAAGTACAAAATGTTTTTGGTAAGCATATTCATAGAGTTTGTCTTCACGTCGTGACAGTTATGTAAGGAAGTGTAATATATATTTATAGAGTTTTCGTAACCACTTGGATCCTCTTACAGCCGTGGCTCAACAAAATCATCAGTTAATATCGGCCAATTCTCTCCCTCTAGCTCCTGTTTTGACCAAATTAATTCGTAAATGCAAACCGTTGGCGAATTACTCGACACGAATTGAGCAGTTCCTAAAATTTATTCCCCGAAAAATTCGTGCGGCTGAACTTGAATAGCAGCAAAACTGATATTCTGATCTTAATTCCATAACCCAAGCTAAAAAAAAACTTCTTTCAATCTTCCAACAAACAGTTTTATGATTGGCTTGGTGAAAACTTAGGGCTTAGTCTCAATATAGTTACTTGAACAGAGATTAAGTAAATACACATATAAACGCGAAAAACAAAGGTCGCCTGGTTATTATTCCATTAGTATATAGAGAGCACGCGAAATTTTCCAGGGCATTAAAGTGAAGAACAGGGCAAAAAATAAAGGAATAACAAAATGGCCGAACTGAACGATCCAAACTTTGATTTTTTGGCTAGTTTTTTGAGGCTTGACTTTTAGAGAAACGAGCTTTTAAGAGCGACATATTTTTTTGTTGGTCGCAAAGTACAATTTTGATGGTTTCTTTCGTTTTGTTTTCGTCTTTTGAATACTCCTTATGCGAACGATACGATACACAGTTAAGGCCGCCGTAGGATGTACTTAGCAAATCAAATCAAAATCCTAAAAATTTAAATAACGGTGAATTTTAATAAGCCTTCGGTGCTCGGAAAAATACTACGGAACTCACAAAATATCCCCGCATATTATATGTTAAACCATCGAATAAGGTATATATATATTTTTAGGGACGTAACACATACATATTTAGAGGGAATTCATGAAGTGAAAAGTTTAAAATGTCAAGATTTAGTCTTCCCTACACAACAAATAACACAGTAGTGTACACCAAATAAGTTTATTTAGGGAAGCCTGCCGAGAACCTACCCGAGGCATATATAGCCTGAGGCATGCATATATACATACATTCGCAGCTGACATACCATATACAATCCTGATATACAGTCAATGCCTTACACATTCAAAAATAGGTATACATTACTAACATGCAAACTTCACCAATTCGGGATAAACAAAGATGGGCAACCGCTTACAAGGACATTACTACAGTTACACGAAGGCCAGATAAAACCCCTTTGGGGAAAAAATATGACAGGAAATATGGGTAGGAACCATAAATAAGTTTTCAAACTAAAATAAATTTGTCATCAGCCAGAGGTGAACAGTTGGTTCTGAGGCCTAGACGGACACCACGTGCTTTACTCCCCCTTATATACCACTGCACCATTACCCAAAATGCTCAGGCCTAAGGCCCAGGCCTTGTCGTATCTCGTGCCGATAAAATATTTATTTCTGCCTTATTCGCAGACTCAATCGTCAGAAATACCATTTTTATAGAAATAAGAATAAACAATGATAAGTATAAAAAAACTTTGGAGGTACCGTAAACCTCCTACCTTCTTATTTTCATCTCGCTTTCACATGTAAATATTTTTTATCAGTCGCCATTTGAATTCTCTACTTCGCAGGGTGTACATTTCATTATTTCAAGTAAGGAATCAGCTTTGCATAAATGCAGCTGGTTTCTGTTATTGCAAAATTTTTCAGTTAACGTTATCTGCATTGCAGTAGCACACGATCGCACGAGCAAATAAAGGGAAAGATCATTTATTTGAATTGCAGATTTGCTTTCTTTTTTATGAAATTATGTGGTACGAAACCTTTTAATTCTTATAAAAAAATTTTCCCTGAAACAATAAATTTCACCTAATAATTAACCATGAAAAACTGCGACAAAAGCTAAAAGCTCCTTGGTCAAAGATTCCCCCATGCAATGATCTATCTTCTTTGATTGACTATCTGAAAGACTACCTCAGTTGTTCCTTTGGCTGTAAGGGGCTAGACAACGATATAACAGGTCAACGAAGGATATGCCTTGTATGTAATTAATTGATATAGCTATTGTTCGCTGAGTCTGGACATTAAGATTATAATGAAAACAGTTTATTTAAAGGAACTCCTTGAAAGGGGTTCCTTCGCGAATAAAGAGCTAAGCAATAATTTCACAAGTTAACGAAGGGTATGCCTTACATTTGTTTGATTACTAAACAACGTGCGTCCTTTACTCCTAGGTTAAAATAATTATGATTACAATGACAATAAAGTTACTTAAAAGACCTCATCGAGCGCATTCTTCACGCCGTTAAAGAGATGAATAGTGATATCACAAGTTGATGGATTGTATTCCTTTTCTGTAGAGGATTAGTTTATAGCAACTGTCCGCTCTGCGTGGGGTATGATGGTTATAATGATAATGATTACAGAGGTTTATTTACGAGTTCTCAACCAGCGCATTCTTCGCGCTGTTAAAGAGATGAACGGGGATATCACAAGTTAACGAAGTGTATTCTTTTTATGTAATTGATTAATTGGTAACAACTGTCTACTCTGCCTGGGGTACGATGAATACAAAAATTATGATGATTACAAAAAATATGATGAAAAAGGTCTATTTACGATCCCCTCTAGGGGCTTCTTCGCGTCGTTTAAGAGATGAACAGTGATATCACAACTTGAGGGAGTGTATTTCCTTTTATGCCATAGATAATCTATAATAACTTTCCATTCTACCTGGTGTGGGATGATTATAATAATAAAGATTATGAAGGTTTATTTTCAAGACCTCACCCAGCGCATTCCTTGCACCGTTAAAGAGATCAATTAGGATCTCACAAGTTAAGGGAGGGGGTTTCTATCATGTAGTTGATAATTCATAACAACCGTCCACTCTATCTGGGGTATTATGGTTATTATGATAATGATTATAAAGGTTTGCTTACAAGTTCTCAACAAGCTCATTCTTTGCGCCGTTTAAGAGATATATAAGGATATCACAAGTTATGGGAGTGTATTCTTTTACGTTTTAATTGATAACAACTGTCCGCTCTGCCTGGGGTATGATGATTACAAAAATTCTGATGAAAAAGGTTTATTTACAAGATCCCCTCTAGGGGCTTTTGCGTCGTTAAAGAGATGAACAAGGATATCACAATTTAAGGGAGAGTATTTCCTTTTTTGTCATTGATAATTTTAAAACAACTGTCCACTCTACCTGGCGTATGATGATTATAATAATAATGATGATAAATGTTTATTTACAACACTTCCCGAGTGCATTCTTCGCTTATTTAGAGCGTAAAAGAAATTGTTGCAAGCTATCTCTTCACTTTAAGAATGTATTTTCACCTGCTAACCTAGCTAGGTCGCCGCTCGAAGTCAAAGAAATTTCCACATTAGTTCAGACAAAGCTTTCCATGGGGAATGAACATGAATCTGTGGATATTTAGTCTCGTCTGTTCAGCTGTTTACGGCATAAACCGAATTTCAGAGCCAGATTTGAAAGCTGTTAGCTTTGCCGAAAAGATAGCAGGACAAAAGCTGAACGGAAGCCTGATAAAAGAAATAGATGTGGATTCGGAAAGTTCCTGTCAGCTTTAGTGTATGGAGGAAGAGCGATGTCAGTCTTACAACTTTGGAACCCAAAAGGGCGACTCAGGGAAATTCAAATGTCAGCTAAGCGACTCTGATCGATTTGTTGGATTTGCTAACTTTACCGAGGTTGAAAATTTCATTTACAGAGGAATAAAGGTATGCTAAATCTGTCTTTGTGCATCAAAAATTAATTAATTGCACCTCAATGTTTGAATCTTTATGTTCATAATCGTAGCTGTAGCTCTATTTCAGCGCCTTGCATGATTCTTTCTGAAGCTGTGCTCCACTTAACATGGCTGGGAATTAGCGCGGCATTTCGATTGATCGATTGCGTTCGGGTGCAAGGAAGCGACAGCAGGTAGTTGCTGGTTAAGACAGGAGCGAGGTTGTTTCACATCATGGGGGTGAACTTGCAACGGTAGAAGTTGAGCGAACTTGAAATGGCGCGAAACCTCTATAAATTACATGGCACCCTCGGGCACAGGACTTACAGAATTGTTTAACACAATGAAAAACGTTCAAATGTCGTACAATTTCTTAAGTGTCATAACTTTCATTCTTGGAATATTCAAAATAGAAAACCGTTCATGCACTGAGTCTCTATCTTCCTGCATATAAAATCGACGAAAGAACTTAAAATTAAAAAAAGACAAAACGTTTTTATCAATGTTTGAAAAAACATACGTTTCTCTATTTTCCTTCCCTAATGTTAGAGCATCTGCGAAGGTGACCCGTGCAAAGAAAACGAATTATGTGTCGCAAGCTACACATCAAAAACTCACTTGTGTAAGTGTATCAGAGGTAAGTGGAGACCCGGTAGATTTTTGTAGTTTGAAAGAAGCCCATGTCCTAATTAATCAAGGGATACGTTGTCATATGTTACCTCGATACAGGACAGCAATGTTCTGAATGTTACTTTACGTAATCAATGAGGTGCTCAGTTAACACAGTAGGAAGTTTTTCAAATACTAATAGCTATGGGGCTTGGGAAAAATACCACACAACTCGCAAAATATTGCGCGTATTATATTGCGCGTATACTATCGACTAAAGTGTATTCATAACAGACGGTAACTTGACTACTTGCTGTTTACATTTAAAGATTGCCCCAAGAGCTGTCTTGACTATTATCAAAATGGTTCCAAAACTGACGGTGTGTACCGGGTTTACGCTGATGAAGAAGAACCCTTTCAAGTGCTGTGTGACATGACAACTGATGGCGGAGGCTGGACCACCTTTCAAAGGCGCATGGATGGCTCTGTAGACTTTTATGTCGCCTGGGAATCGTACAAAAAAGGCTTTGGAAATCTGAAGGGCGAGTTTTGGCTCGGAAACGATTATCTTCACCGTCTGACTGCATCTGCTAACATGGTGTTTCGAATCGATATGGAGGATTACGAAGGTCATCGAAGATTTGCCGAGTACACGACTTTCTCCGTGGCCGACGAAAGCGATAATTATCGGGTGACAATCGATGGATACCGAGGCACCGCAGGTGACTCATTAGCTTCAACTCAGCCCATCAGGTATGTGGCTGGCAATTCGTTTACCGATGTTAGAAGAATGAAAATTGACATTGAGAAATTTATCAGTGGAGCGCTGCTGCTCAAGAATGCGTGACTTACCGTTCACTTGACGAAGTTGAAGATCCTTAAACTTAACTTTATAAACTTCTCCTTTGCCTCATGTTTTAGGAACAACTTCATGTATATTATTGACCATGACTGCCCTTTTTAAATTGGTCATTGACATTGACATTGCTCCTTGCAGCATGATTTACTTTTTGTGCACTGCTTTGTACACAGATTTCCATGATTTTTCTTCTTCACTTTCCTTCTCATGCCTTCAGCAACATTGCTACCCACCCAGCTTCTTGTCATTTTTTCACGAAGTTGTTGTTGTTTTTCTTTTTTTCAATTTAGAAATATGAACTTTACAACCAGAGACAGAGACAATGACGCTAGTGACGTTGGAAACTGTGCAGAGTATTTTAGAGGTGGCTGGTGGTATAATAGCTGCCACAGGGCAAATCCAAATGGCTTGTACCAAGGCGGAAGTCACGCACAAGGAGTTACTTGGATCTCATTTCGAGGACTAGATTATTCGCTTAAGCGCACTGAGATCAAACTTCGACCAGCATGATTTTTTAATTGTAGAAATTGCGTCTTTAAGCTCTCAGCCACATATGTATGTAACTGTATCTTTCACGAATTAGAGACATCTATCAAGCCTACAGTGATTCTCTGTTAGCTTTTGATGATTGTTATATTTCCTTTAGCGGGGTGGCATCAACCGAGACGGAGTTTTATCGCGTTTAATTATAAGGATGCTGCAAGTTTTATTTACTGCAGTGCAGTAGGACAAACGCAAACAAATAGATTAGTATTTTTAAACTGGATCATTTCAGCTGCCGACTTGTCTCTCCTGAGCCAACTTATAAAGTTTGTAATCGATTTTTGGTGGCAATGTATGGAAATGAGTTGAATGTTCATAGAGTCCACCTGGGTGCTATAAAAGTTGTTCCTCGACGAAGTCATCAGTTGGTATCGCATAGTTTGTTTTTCTCGAGCCCTTGTTTTAACAAAATAAATTATTAAATACAAAAAAAGGCGAAATATACCACACGATATGGAGAAATTCCTGAAATGAGTTCACTAATCCTTTTCCAATCTTACTACTGCCTTCATTTAAGAGAATTGCGCTAATTCGGCTTGCTTTTGCTAAGGTGATGCAGCTATCTTTTTTTTTGTCGTCCGAGCAAGCACTAGAGGTCATAATTGTGACTGGAGGTGTCCTCCGAAACAAGTTCTGGTCTAATAGAGGTTTAGATCTGACTACTGGCTAGAAGTACTGTGCAAGCTTTACAGCGTGGCTGGTCACGCAAACTCTGAAAAAGTAGTAGCCTTCCTGTTGCTAACTACGAGTTTTTCTGGAAATCCCGTTGGTGCGCTACGAGTTAACAAGTAAGTAAAAAAGAAAAAAAAAAAACAAAAAAAGAAACAGAGAAATTGCAGAGGGTATGTCCAGTAAGGCCTGATGTCTGTGTAGTGTTCTCCTAATTCTGATAAAAGTCACGCTCTCGTGTGTAACATCCTGTTTACCTGAAGTTAAGGATTTACCATGGCTGATGACGACTACGAGAGACTAGTGCCACTCTACTCCCGGCCAAAACTCGTAGTCGTAGTCAGATCTAAGGTGCTCTAGTATCCGAGAGGCAACGGCTCGATTCCCGTCGTAACCTTATCATTTTAGGCTTCTCTGCTATTGCTAAAATTGCAGCTCACCAGTAAGGTCATTTCCTGCTGTAATCCTAATGCCGTTGTGTGATTCGATGCCAAGACAATAACCAAATTAACAATTGTGTGGCTGCAAATGACGATTATATTTTGAAGGACGTAAAACATGCATATATATATTGGGAAGTTAATGGTTAAATGTTGTGAAAAAATCAGCAGTGGCACCTCTTTGTTTCACCTCGAAGGTTGTTATTAATTATGAATCGGGATAGCTTTAATTGGTTTAATTCGATTAGTTTAGATCCACCTCATTGTTAATTCAGCGAGTGCGATATCAGTCGAAGTTAGCATAGGAAAAAAGAAACATGTATCTACGGGCCCTACTGATGTTTTCACTTATGGGCCTTGCAGAAGCTTCAAATCGTTTTTCGGAGCCAGATTTTAAATCTGCTAATTTCGCAAAGGCGATAAACGATCAAAAACTCAACGGGAGTGTCCTCAGAGACTTTGAAGTAGCATCTGAAATATCTTGTCAGTTTGAATGTGTCTCTGAAGATCGATGTTTGTCATACAACTTCCTTCCCATCCACGATAAGGAGACAAGTAGATGTCAGCTAAGTGGCTCGGACCGATTTGTGAGTCAGGTGAATTTTACAAAAGAGGATGGAGCATTATATCGAGGAATACAGGTAACAAAACTGATGAACTCGAATGTCCTCGGTTCGTTAAAGTGTCTTTTCTTTTCGTCTGAATTTATTTCAAACAGGATGCTGCGATTTTCATTACAGTCAGGCTGGTTGTTTCAAGAATTTAATAAGAATGCATTCTTTGTAAACTAGGATCGTTCTATTTCGTGAATAAATGAATAGGAGCTCTTAGATAATGCAGCGATTTTGGTACTGATTACCTTGCATGGTGAGTGAGTAATTACTGGGTTTTGAGGACACATGCTGGGCTTGGAAAGCTTGAGAAGTTGAAATGATTACAACACGATAAAGCGCTTGAAACTCTGGACTTTTGATATATTTTATGTATCTAAGGGGTTTTATCAACCTTTATAAACAACTATTTATTATTATTTTCATATTAAACAAGTTGTTTCACGTCTCAGTTGAGTCAACTGATTCCAAAGAATACAATATCTTCCTAGAGTTATTGGTGCTGAGAAGCACCTGTTATGAAGAAGGCAGAAGTTCTCACCAGAGAAGAAACGAGAACTCCTTACTAAGGCATCCTTTCGTGAAATGAATCTACCTTAAGATGAATCATAATCTAATATAAATTTCCTTTAAAGAGTTAAGGTTGAACAAATGTTGTTAGAAATAACACAGAAGAAGCCAACATAGGAATAAATCTAGAAATAAAGCGGGATGATTTCGTTTTAGGACTATTCAAAACAAAAACTATTTATGTTCTGAGTTTCTTTCTTTTAAAATTTAATACATGACCGACAAGAAGTTTTCAGCTATTATGGAGATTCTCAATGTTTGCTCAATGTCGGCACGTACGCCAGCGTATTGTTTTTCCAGAAAATGTTTATGTTTTCGCTTTTCTAGGTCACTAAAATTCATCAAAAGGGCGATGAGAAAGGTTCAGACTATCGTTTTCTTTAGTAAATATCATCAAAATGATTTTCTTTATGGAGCTAAGATTCCACGAAGGGAGGCGCTCGCCGGTGATAATTTGGCTTTGCCTTTGATTTTCATTTTGTGAAAAATTTGTCCTGTCGATCATTTAAAAGCCCAAAAAAATTGGGGTTGCTGAGGCAGTTTCCTCGCTCTTTGCAATTTTGTGTTTTCTTCCTCTATCTCAAATTTGTTCTTATGAATTTTTTTTTTATCAAAAGGTATTAGAAGGGCACAAATATGTTTAACGGTCCAGCAAATCTTGGGAAATTTCATCAAGAGACGCGATCAATCTTGCTCGAAAGATCTCTATGTTCTTTGTCGAAAAACAGTACGTAGTGGAATAGAACTTCGTATCTGAGCATGCGTAAACTTTCAACTCTGTCACGATCTGTCGCCTCTTGGCAATCTCTCCCACGGTGTTTTCTTTTCGGTTGACCCCTTTTTCAGGCGTAGAAGGCCTGTAAATATTACGGGTGTAGTTTCAGGAAAGCCAAGATTACATTACATAAAAACTGTTAAACTACTTTTAACACACCTTTTCAAATAACAATCCCGCGATAGTATCGAACCGCCATACTTGTGGACACTTTTTAAGCTCGCGCTATGTTTGCACCCAGATCTCGCGCGGTCAAAAAACCCTATGGAGCCTCCTTAAATGAAAAAATCCGTCATCATCCTTTTGATATCTCTTTGTATAAAGATTTTCTTTATTTATTTTTTAGAGCACCTGCGAGGAAGATGATCCTTGCAAGGAGAATGAAACTTGTGTTGCTAACTACAAATCAAACACTCATGTTTGCAAGTGTATTAGAGGTAAGTGGAGATCCGCTCGGAGAAAGACAAAAACCATTCTAGGAGAGGGATATACTGAAAATGCCGAGGACAGATGAAACGGGGAGATTAGCACCAGATGAGGCAAGGTTACGAAAGATCAAGTGTGTAACGTCCATTACAAAAACATTTAGAGAGAGAGAGTGAGGGAAAGAGAATATATAATTTTTGTTCTTGTCAAAGCATTTTACTTTCGCGTTTAATTTCTAGATTGCCCCAAGAACTGTCTAGACTATTATCAAAATGGTTCCAAAACTGACGGTGTGTACTGGGTTTACCCTGATAAAGAAGAACCCTTTCAAGTGCTGTGTGACATGACAACTGATGGTGGAGGATGGACCACCTTTCAAAGGCGCATGGATGGCTCCGTAGACTTTTATGTCGACTGGAAATCATACAAAAAAGGCTTTGGAAATCTGGAGGGCGAGTTTTGGCTCGGAAACGATTATCTTCACCGTCTGACTGCATCTGCCAGCATGGTGTTTCGAATTGATATGGAGGATTATGAAGGCGACCGAAGATTTGCAAAGTATACGACTTTCGCTGTGGCCGGCGAAAGCGATAATTATCGGGTGACAATCGATGGATACCGAGGTACCGGAGGCGATGCATTGCTATCTCTCAATAAGCCTATCAGGTATTGGTTCATAGCAGCTTTCTGTACTTTGCTCTGAGAATCACCAGTAATATAAGGGTAAGTTTTGAAAAGCTCCTGTCCAAGAATTTGGAAGTACGTTTAGGATTGCCGGATCCCTGCACTTAAGCTGATCAACTTTTTTCTACAAATGACAAATCTAAGTTGAAATATCACATTCCGGATGCATCATCGCCGATCAGATATTTCAACTTCCAGTTTATTGCAAACCAGGATTGCTCCTTTCAACATGATGACATCAAATTCATGTTGATACTATTAACTTTAAAAAAAAAAGCGTACTAGATTACAATTCTATGTTCTCAAACTTTCCTGATGGGGGAATCGTTTTATGTGCACTGCTGACAATTAGTGCTCCTTACATATATCCCACCACACAGTGCCATCTGCACTTTACTGACTATGATATGCTGTTAGAAGCATTGCTTCCTCGCTTTTTCTCAGTTTCTTACGGAATGCCTTTGATATCCTAGAAACATGAGGTTTACAACGAAAGACAAAGATAACGACGTTAAAAGCAGTGGAAACTGTGCGTTAAACAATAAGGGTGGCTGGTGGTATAATAGCTGCCATAACGCCAATCCAAATGGTTTGTATAAAGGCGGAGGTAACGCACAAGGTATTACGTGGGGGTCATTTCGAGGACAAGGATATTCTTTAAAGCACACCGAGATCAAAATTCGACCAGCATGATTTCATTTGTGGTAGCTGCATCCTTAAGCCAATAGTAAACTGTAGCTTCTAATTAAGAATTAAAGATATCTGTTTTGCGTAGAGTTACAATTCTTAATTTAATTTGTGATGATTGCAATATACAAGTTCGGTTAACGCGACATATTGTTGGCAGATGGCGCGTTTAGCTGTTGTCTTTCAACGCTCTTAGTGGTGATAAACTTTCTTAAATTTTGTTTGTGAAATAGTTTTATTGATTTATCTACGTATGTAGAGCACTTTTTCTGTCTTTGAATTTATGTCACTCCCTCAGTAAGAGAAAGGCACTTTTAATTCGTATTATGAAAACGTTACTTATTTTGTCAGATGAGACTTTCCTAGATATTGATGATGAGCTTAGTTTTAATTAAACGTTTAAATGTCTCAGAGATTGTTTAATTGAGCGAGTTATTTCGTCACTGAGGCTGGCTTGCAAACGCACTTAAAATAAACATCCGCGGAGCCCTGCAAAATATCTCCCGTCAACTCGATGAAAAGAGACCTGCTACGATTAGCTCGTGTTTCATCTTTTCTCTGGTACCTTACACATACCTCAATTGAAAACCTGTCATCTTTCTTTTCTTTACTGCATCTTTCAATAAATAATTACCTCAAAATATAATTTTAAGTGTCTGCTACATTTCAACAAGAACTTAGATAACTATATAAAAATAACTATGGAGAACGATGTTCTGGACCACGAGACATTTGCTTAAACCCTGAACTCCCTTTGGAGATAGTGCTAAGTTGAATTATGGCCAACAGATCTATAAAGACGCGTAAATCTTAACTCTGTTACAAATCAAGAGAGGAGGGTTCCTCCTACTTTTTTGAAATATTTGCGTCCCTGTTTATCGAAGATTGCTTAATGCTTTTCTAACGTAAAATGGCTGTCAACGCTCTCCCTAAGCGTTACGTTTTGTCTGGAATGATTTTTGTTGGATTCTTTGTTATGTCCGGGCTGAGAGTAAATTTGAATGTGGCTATTGGTGCGATGGTCAATAATCACACGGCTGTGGTGGATGGAGAAATAATCTGCAGGGTAAGTGAAGGTAGCACCTCAGAGAAAACTCGTTCATGTAACACTTCAATCAACTTGTGCTAGATAAAAATCCTCATACAAACACCAAGAGAAGCTCATAATATAAAAAAAACTCGGGGTCAATTTTTTTAATGTATATCGTTGGTAACGATAGTGAATCGTAGTTAAGCTTAACACTTAGTTAATTATCTTACCACTTTTCGATCCACTTCATTTTTCAATTCACTATTGCTAGCGATCACCGCTTGCAGCCGACCATGACTTATTTTAGCGCTATTGGTTTGTCTCTATTCTATGATTCCATTCTTCCGTAAGCGACCACTTCACGTGGGCCGACCTCAGTACAGGTGCCCTTCGTGTAACCGGACGTTTTAAAAGCCACAAATGTTGGTCGATATACCGTGTGTTTGCCATTCAGTTTGAAAGTGACTTACCAAGAGACACTCTTTTTGCAAGATTTTTACTTTCAAGATTGCGATGCAATCGTGTAGTTATTCTTTTGGATAAAAACGTGTTTTCCATGACATTGCTATCGGGTTTAACATTGTATTTCTAAAGATATCAAATTCCTAAATGTTTATTTTCCTCCAAACAAAAGAAATTATATAAATAACACCTAATCGGTAATAATGTTTTATCAACGAACTACCTTTATGTGATAAAATTGTTACTTCAGAATTGTCTTAACTGTTCTACAGGAAGCGGAATTCAAATGGGAACCTGAACTGAAAGGTAAAAAAAAATAAATGAATCAATTAAAATTGATGACGTTAACATTTATAACCAGGCAGTACATAGACAAGAAGCTTATCTTACAACCACGAAGATCCGTAAAGAGTTCCTATGCTGCATTGCTAAAAATAAATCGTGGCGTCAAGATCCTATGGTAGGAAATATTCACATGACAGGCGTCTGACAAGGAAACTACTCACAGTTTAGTGTACATTCGATGGCTATGGTAATGACATTTGTTATGGGATATACCTGTAACGATAAATACCTGGAAATTTCCAGAATGCTGAGACATGCTGACTTGCATAACATGGAACCATATGAAACATTATATTAGGTCACGTAATCATAATGTAATAATACTAAAATAGTTGTGTTGTAAGCCTCCAGAATGTTTGAGAATACTTTGTAGAATTATTTCGTAACTCTTGTCGGGAGTGACCGACTGTTTGGAAAGCTATACCGAGGGAAAGCTAATGTGAAATTGTTCCTCTCAAGGAGCATTGAAGGAAACTGTGATTTTTTTGGTCAGTGGTGAGCTAAGATATACCTTGTAGTGGGCTTAAGTAAGTGTATTGAGGATTAATACTGTACTGACCATAGGATTTGCTCCTTATTAAGAACATTATTACAAGTTGTGTAATAAAGCAGTTGAGTCTGTGGGATTGCAATGTTCTTTCTGTCGGTTAGATTATGACGCAACACAAGATAACTTCAATTTTTCCCCCTAGGTGTAATTTTAGGAGCATTTTATTACGGTTACATGGTGTTCCAAATCCCAGGGGGATGGTTAGCATTACGAGTGGGTGGAGCTCGTTTGTTTGGAGCTGCTGTCATGATCGCCTCATTGTTTACTTTGTTAACTCCCATGGCAACGCGCTGGAACCCAGTTGCATTGATTGTATTAAGAATATTAGAGGGCCTCGTGTTGGTGAGTTAAAAATAATAATAATGATGACACTGATAACGATTGAAGTAAAAAAAAGTGAAATTAGTACTAGTATTTTAAATGATGCAGTTGAAAAAAATCATATTTTAGGAAATTGTCTTAAGCTTCGATATTAAAGTAGTTAGCGACTTACAATAACATATTTTATCAGGGATAAAGTCTCATAAAACTGGGGCAATGCATACGATTATATTTAGGATTAATACTTAATTTCTTTACCAGGCATGGAGGGAGGTAATGTGGGGAAAATAGAATTTTGACTTACAGGGGAACTTGAGCCCTTTATTACACCTATTTCGAAATCACTGGTGGTCCCTGTAATCTGATTGGCTCTAACTGATGCGATTTATTCACAAATTGCACCATTTTTTGCTTTAAATCGCATCTTTTTTCCAGCCAATGAGGTGGCTACACTAAAAACAAAACAACCAATCAGATTTCAAGGCTTGTTTAAAGTAACCCGTCAAATTGCAGGAAAATGAAAGACAAAGAGTGTCATGCGGCAAATTTTGCAACTTTTGTTTCAAAAACTCTTATTTATTCCCCCAAAAAATGGATGAATTTAATTTCAGACCGGCTCAGTAATACATCAATGAAATATTTGAACTTACCAGGTCCTGTATTTGGGTGATTTCAAAATGGATGTAATAAAGTGGTAATTAAACCTCGTGTCGTGCAATTTTGGTCTGAAATCATACTTGTGGTTATAAATCGAACTCGCGCTGGGCGCTCGTTTGATTTTGAAATCATGCGTATGATTTCAGCCCAAACTGCACTCCACTCAGTTCAATTACCATTATGTATCATTAACATATTTAAACGCTTAAAACAAAATGTCAGAATTTGTCCTCTTGGTAAGTAGTTTTGTAGCCAGTGTAACTTTATACGTACAAGTGCGATTTTAGAAAAAAAATTGTTCTTGTGTAAGGACCACGCCCAACGTTCTCACCATTACCGGTTAGTCTTTGCAAAAGTAATGGCAATTCCTTGGGATATGACTGCAATGAATAAAGGAACTAATTTGTTTACTTCCATGAATGTCAGGGTGTTCTATTTCCTTGTAATCACGCTATGTGGAGTCGATGGGCGCCTTCAGCTGAGAGAACAACTTTAGTGACGGTTTCCATAACAGGTTTGCCCTATAATTATATCTGGTGATTTTCCTTCAACAAAATCTACCCATGCACTCACGCACTTGGACTTTGCTTATCATCTCAGGGGGAAGCATTGGATACCTCCTTACTATGCCTATTACAGGCTTGCTCACCAAATATGGCTTTGATGGGGGCTGGGCCTCCGTATTTTATTGCTTTGGTGAGTATCTGAGCTCAATACAGTATTGTGAAATTTTATCCTTTGGAAGTAATGCGTCAAAGACATATAACGTACGAGTTTTATATGTCACTGACTTCCTTTTCCATTTGAGTTATCGATGATTTAAAAATTGTTTCGATTTTATTTACGTCTTTATCTGAACATTGCAATGTAGCTGCTGCTGCTTTTATTCTTTTGCAATAAACTGCTGTCTCTATGCTTAATACTTGTTTCGATTCTATGAGTTTTAAATAGTTTCTACTCGTGGGTCGATAACGATTTTCGTCATGAAAGTTGGATAAGCTCAAACTGAAGGGCTCGTTAGACCTAAGCTAATCTTTCCTCCCTGTCACTCACACGTGCCTGTAATATCCTGATGTATCCACCCTCTCCTCCCTCCATTCCACTAAAGGGCCTCTTGCCTTAGAAGAGGTGGCTAAACCAGTCAGTCAGTCAGTCAGTCAGTCACACAAGAATACTTAAATAGAAGCCGTATCGAAAATGATTTCATGGATTTTTTTTATCAGGTGTGTTTGGTATAGTGTGGTACTTCGTTTGGCTGATGGTTGTCTACGAGTCTCCTGCACTTCACCTGACCATATCAGATGACGAGAAGAGTTTAATACAAGAAACAGCCCTGGACTTGTCTAAGGTAGGTCTCGTACATGACCTTTGGTGTACTTCTAAATGGGCAATGTTCCATGCAGTGTTTGTGGTATTCTTGGTTTACATGTATGATCCAGTTCCATGCCATATGATGTTTAGCATGTAGAGCTAATTTATACTAAAGGGATAGCCTATTCTTTAAATGCTTAAGCGAGAACTGGATTATTGGAAATGAGAAAAAAATTAAAAACATGGGAATTCGACTAAGATTCAGATAAGGAAATTTGCCTCGAAACTTAGGTCATTTAATCTCCTCACCTCAATTCCACTCGCTCCCGCTCTCCTCCCCTACCCTCTCCTCCCCTACCCTCTCCATCCCTTCTCCTCCCTCGCGTCTCCACTTCCTCTTTTTGTTCAAGACCTGACCTAAGTGGTCTGGAAAAATAAAATAAATTCTGACTGAATATCCGCGTTTTTCTTAAGTTAGAGACAGTCTTCATGCGTTGATTTTATCTTTTCTACGCATTCTTCTTCAACTTTATTCTGAGTTTCCTTGTCCATTCTATAACGTTACATACATCTTTAATTTTTTTTTATGATCATTTTTATTTGATTTAATCCCAACATATAGTACTGTCTTTCTTTCCTCAGGTAGAGAATATTGTAATTCCTTGGAAATCTATCTTACTATCACCACCTGTTTGGGGAATAATTGCGGCCAATTTTGCATTGGATTGGGCGTTTTATATTTTGCTTATATCGATGCCAACTTTTCTACTAGATGTCATGAAAACATCTATCACCAGTGTGAGTTTATAGCACCATGTTAAGAATAGGCCAATTCTAACAGCAGAGCTTTTGTTAGCACATTTACGTACCTGCATTCATTATAAGACCCGCCCAGGCCAGAGTCCGGCTCGGTGAGATGCGAGATGGAAAAAACGCAAGGAGAAAGGAAAAAAAGACGAGGCCAGTATTATCTATATGCTCAGTCTACACAGTATGACCTCTAGCAAACTATTTTCTTATTCGGCACTCATACTCTATCGTGAAGTAAATAATGGTCCTTGCTAAACTTCTAAACTGGGCTGCTTTCAACTAAAACTAACATCCAGTGTTATTCTTCTTTTCTTATCTTTATTTTCAGATGGGATTCATGGCTGCTTCACCTTTTCTCGTCGAAGGTGTTTGTTCTCCATTGTCTGGCTTAGCAGCAGATGTGCTGAGGAAAAGTACGGTATCTACAAAGAACGTCAGAAGAGTTTTTTACGCTGCTGGTACGAAAAAAAAAACCGACTCACCAGTCCATATTTTCTATACCTCTAAGTTGGCTAAAGGTTTCTTAGTGACTTGTCTGTGGTAATTGTCAACGATTTTCAGTGAAATGACTGAACTAACTCAACTCGTTTTAACTTCAAGATCCGAAAACGTATGTACTCAATTTTCGTGGTAGATATCCTTATCATAGAGTTGGCTCCAAGTACTAGAAAGATGAAGCGAATCCTATATTTTAATTGGCCTCTCGGTCGGGATCGCCCTCTTTCATCTTGCTGGTTTCATTCTACAAGTTATTAGGCAATTTTTCTATATAACAAGAAAAACGAAAAAACGTGTTCTGGCTGTTTTAGCTATCACAGGGTTACAAACCCCTTTTTCTTCAGAGTGAAAAAAAGGGGATCAGCGATTTGGTGGATTTTTCTCTAATACCTGTTACTCACTTAAGATGACTGGATATAGGTTTCATCCTCGTATCGGTCAATAAAAGCGCAACTTCCAGTCTCCATTACCTCGAGCTTTTTGTGAATTTTGTCTACACCTTAACCGATAATCTATTTCACCTTTCTTCTTGATAATAATGTCTTCCTTTTTCTTCTCCAGGCGCCATAGCGTGTGGGTTTTTAGTACTCATAGCTGGTTACTCTTTAAATGTCACGGTAGTTGTTATTTGCATGAGTCTGGCTGGATTGACTACGTCACTGGCATTCCCGGCATACACTGTGAACATGCTAGACATTGCTCCGCGTTACTCGAGTATCATCATGGGCGTTTGTAACACTGTTGGAACTACAGCTGGGTTTGTCAGTCCAACCATAGTGGGATTCATTGCCCAAGATAAGGTTGGTATGGAGTGCATTTCGATTGATTGCAGTTAAACCAAAGCCAAGTAATTACAACAGCCAATCACAGCAAAAGAAAATGTCACAAAGAGCCAATCAGAATTCAGAGTAAAAGCACAAAGCCAATTCATTTTACCTAAGAGCAATCAGTAATGCGATTTATAAACATGTAGATACCATGTTTCAATCTGAGGCGAGCAGGGAAACTCAAAAATCGAAATCTTCAGGTGAAAGATTATTTTTCCTTTTTGATGACATTCAGGAACATAGTAACTCTTAAAGCATTGTAAAGTAAGGCAGAAGAGACTTACACTATGCAGTACTTTTCAAGATACGAGCCCTGAGTAGCCCAGCGTTCATGCACTCGACCCGGGCCTCCCGCATAGTCCGCCATATTTGCATTCGGTCTATATCAAATCATAAAAGCTCCTAATGTAAATGCTGTACTCTAAGCTTTCAAAAAAAAAAATGTTTGACCACATAGCAAAATGCATAACTTCCTTTCCTTCTTTCATAGACTGCTGAAGAGTGGCAAAGGGTCTTTTTGTTAACATTTGTAATTTTACTTGGAGGGACTTTCCTATTTTGCCTTTTGATGTCCGGAGAACGACAGGATTGGGACCAAACTATGAATAAACCAACAGACGAAAACATTGAATCTGAAAGTGCTACTGGTAGCTAGAACAATCCTAGACATAGGTTCTTTGCGTACCTTCGTATACAATATACATATATAATATATATATATAATCATTATTCATCCGCTGGCGGGGAAACGGGGTGGGGAGGTGAGGGGGTTGGAGGATTTGGTTGTTTCACAATACCGTATAACTGATCTTGCCATAGGACTCTGTAATCATCTTACGATCCCCCCTCCCCCTCATTGTGGTAAATTGACCGTCAATGTCCTATACTAGGTAATTTAGTGTTAACAACTGAGTTGAAAACGTAAATTAGCCACCGTAAAGGGTAAAAAAGCTGACGTTTCGAGCGTTAGCACTTCGTCAATCGCTCTGAAGAAGGGGTAACGCTCAAAATGCTCAAAACGCTCAACTCAAATTACCCACTATACTCTCCCACCGACGCAGCATCACGGCTTCTTTAGAAACTTACCCCTTTATTTAATGTCCTATAGTACTTCGTTTATACTTTGCTGGCGACGAATGATTCCGCCTCCGTTTCCTATGAAAACCGTGCGATTCTCCACCCCAAAAACCTCTGCCTCTTACCCTAACCCATCCCAGGTGATAAATAACGAGTGGTTCTTGAGCAATTTTCTGAGTTGGTTAATCCAGCCAATCCGTGGTGAGGAAACCAGTTTGTACGTTATTCAATAAAGTTTTCCTTTGTTGTGCAAAATAGAGTTGAGATGCAAAATGAATGTGTTCTGCAAAAGTGTATAGAACTTTCCTGCGAGGGAACCTCTTAGTTAACATTTGTCAAGGTTTATATTTGAACTTTTTTTCTAATTAAACTCTCCGTTTGTTATTTGTTTTGTTTTGTTTTTTTATCATTGTATATTCTCTATCAAATCTAAGGTGTCGCATTTTAAGATGTTCCGACGGGCGCCACCTGTAATCCACCATGTTAAAACCTCAAGCAAACTACTTCAAAATGGCTAAATGCTTTTTTATGACATACGGTTTAAAATACATCTATACTACCTTACTCTTTGATAAATAAAATGAAAAATGATCAATGGAGCACTAATGAAATATGATACGTCTTCTCATACAGTATTTGGTATTGTATTGTTACTTAATGTTTTTAACTGTGTAGTTATGATTAATTAATGAAATTCAAATTTCCGCTGCTAAGTAGCGCGAATTGATCGGCGTATCTATGTATCTTGTTTCATGCGGACAGCGTAGTAGTTCTATGCATCTCCCTGTCAGAGATTGCACTCCGCTGGACAAAACTTTTAGTTCTATGAGGACTATCTTCGGGCATAATTTAAATCAAGTGCACCATATTGTAAGTATTGTCAGATACGCTGTAAATATTTTTACAAGGGTTTAGTGGCCTTAATTTAAAAGAATGGCACCTTGTTCGAATGGGATTCCGAATAGGTACGTCCTTTCCGTCTTGGTGTTTTGGGGTTTCTTTACAATGTACGCGTTGCGAACCAATCTGAATGTGGCCATCGGAGCAATGGTCAAAAAACACACAGTTGTCGTCGATGGAGTCGAGACAGAAAAGGTAGATAACGCTACTCTTACTTGAATCCCTTGATTCAAAATTTTATTACGCTACATAATTAGAGAAAGACAACTCGCAGACTGATCATGGAATAGAAACCGACAAGAAGGTAAAGGTCTGTGGTCCGTGGTTTCGCGACTCAAGGGATTTTTTCAAGTAGAGAAGGCCAGGGTCTTGAGTTTTCCGAATAAATTTAACACCCGCCGTGACCGACTTTACACGTGCGAGTGGCATTTTTAAAAATGATAAATTCAAGTTTTCATATCACCGAAATCAAATAACCACATAGTAACGAAGACTGCTGCTTGTAAAAGAGGGAAGAATCTTCGCCTGTTAAATAAAGTAAGCTTTCAGAGCGTGCACTCAGATTGCGTGGTATTAAAAAATCAACTAAATTCTCTAACATGTAAGGAAGTATCAATGACACTGTAAAAAGCAATGCCAACAAAATTTTGTTGTTCCTCTTGCATCAAATTGACACCACCGACTTTGATACTGACTTTATGACCGCAAGGATCGCGAAATATATTTCCAAGATCGTGGTCACGGCAAAAATCCTTGCCAATCCGGTCGCCCATAGCAAGGTTGGAATAAACAAGTGATAAACGCATTTAAACTTTACCCAACTTGTTTCGTCGTCAAGTTCTTTTTCTGGCTTTTTTTTTCCCAGGAGGCAGAATTTAAGTGGAGCTCAAAATTGCAAGGCAAGATTAATTTGAAATTGTCGTTGTTCTGTGTTGACGTATGGTATATATATAGAGAATAATACATGGCTGCGCGTAGATATGGAATTTCTTATAGTGTGTTCAACTCGAGTTCAACACAAGAAATTCCATCCTACAAGCAGCCATGTAATATTTTGCATATGACATGGAAGCAACAAGCCTATAAGGAAAATCCTTGTAAAACTCCGCAGTTTACATGATAAAGTTCTTTAACGATTCTTGTTACACTCAACCTCACTTCCTTTACGGATAATAATAAGTTGTGTCACTATACTCACAGGGGTGGTACTGGGTTCGTTTTATTACGGCTACGTTGCGTTACAAATCCCCGGAGGCTGGCTTGCCTTAAAACTCGGAGGAACACGCCTGTTCGGTTCAGCGGTGCTGACGGCTTCGGTCTTAACATTATTAACCCCGTTAGCTTCCAGAGCAAGTGTGGTGCTTCTTATTGTTGTACGAGTTTGTGAAGGATTGGTTCTGGTTAGTATTAGTTTTAATTACCGAATTCATAAACGAAATAACGCACGATGGAAAAGTAACAATCCTAGATGCAATTCTGATTTTATCAATAAGCAAGTGGGTTATGTGTTAGTTTTATTTGAGTGGTCCTGTTGAAGTGACCGTTCAATACAGTTAACTAAAAGACACAACGCTAACAGGCCGTTGGGACTCGGTCAAAGATGACCGCGACCGCTCAAGAGGTGACCGCTTTTTGAAGGTGAAAATTGCAGTAACTAAGGGGAAAAACTTAGGACTTTGACAACTGACCACATAGTACATGGTGACCGCTAAATACAATGCGCCCTAAGGCTCGACTCTACAAAGACTATAACCTCCCACGTTACCTCAGACTTCCTTTTTTTTTCATCTCTAATCTGCCTCTCTAGCCACAAATGAGCTTTTACCTGGTTTCTGACACATATTTGCCAACTATTAGGGAGTATTGTTTCCTTGTAACCACGCTATCTGGAGCAAATGGGCACCAAGCATGGAGAGAACTACTTTAGCCACTATAGCAGTCACAGGTACTTTTCAAACCCGTTCATTTATCATTGATTTGTTTTATGGATCGTTGAAAATTGGTCTAAAAAAAATTGTTTTCTTGGATGGAATTATACCGAAGAGACAAGAATTAACCACTGGCGTAGCACATTGATGAAGGATGCAAAAGATCGGCATGGATTTCAAATGATAATCTTGAGAAATCTACTCCTAAATTTTTACGAGAAGCACAGGTCGCAACGAACTTCCTTCTGCTGGTCTCCCACTCAATTTTTGGCAAGTTGGTAAAGAAATAAAGATATTTCAAATCGTTTCCTCCAGCTTGGTTTTTTTCTTCTTTTAATGGTTTTCCCATGGTTGGAACAAAATGTTTTCAAAAATGCAAAACTTGACATTTCTGATTAAAGGTTGCACTGTTGGCAGTATAGTAACAATGCCGATTTCTGGGTTGTTAACAAGATACGATCTTGATGGTGGATGGCCAGCTGTGTTCTATGCATTTGGTAAGAAAAATGTTTAAGATATACAAATAATCCTTAGATTGCTTTGCTTAATCAGGCAAATAAAAAAAGATGAACCAATTCTCTAAGGCCTCAAACCGGATTCAACAGTCAAAGGAAGAAGATAGATTGACATCTATGAAAGTTGGGGTAGGCAGTGGCGGTTTTGTTCGTAAATTTCTTAGGAAGTAGTGTTTGATTTTGCCTCACTGTTAGTTTTGCCTAAAGTGGTGTCGCGGGAGGTCTTAACCAGAATAGTTTAATTCCGCTGAATTCGTTTACAAGGCAAACGGAAGTCATTATTCGGAGTCGTGCACAAGAAGACTGACGTTCTGATTGAAAACAAAGTAAAAGTACAAGGCGCGTAGATTGCTTGAAAAAGGAAGAATTGGTATTTTTAAGGAAACATTCTCAGTGCAAACGACGACTTACGATTCTATCTTAACTAGAAATGACTTTCATGAGATATAGATATCCCAACTGACAAAGCTCAGACTGTCCCTCATCATCCTCCTACTTTCTTTTTTTGCCATTTCTACCTTTTTTTACATTTCAAAGCAAATTAGAGAATAGCAACAACTTTTCTTTCAGCCTGGCCCGACCGAAATTAGTTTACTTTTGTAATGTACACATAATCTTTTGTACGATTTACTTTTACTCGGCTCATTTTCTTCGTCTCAGATGGGATTTGCGGCTGCCGCTCCGTTTGTTTTCAAATCTTTAACTTGTCCCTTGGCAGGAGTCACCGCTGACCTTCACAGGCGGAATATTCTTTCTACCAAGACGGTGAGACGCGTGTTCTACACAACAGGTATAGCACAATTTTTAAAAGTGGGAAATGGTAAAGCATAATCCCAGTACTATCAGGCGAAATGCTCGCGAAATGGTCCTGAAGTAAGAAACCGTTATAGCAGACCTGAAACGTCTTTTGAGTTACATGGCGGATGGCATTAACATTAGGTCTTCGTTATAGTGTAAATGGTTTTCATTATCCTGCGTCCTGTACGTACGCCTTTACTCCTTTTGTCAGAAGTTGATCACCTTGATGAACTCTATGCAAATAAAATTGCTTTCTCGTAAATATGAGATTCAAACCAACACATACATTTTTTCTTGACGTGGAATGCCACAGGAATAGCCAATAAAACGAAAACAGTCTTTAATTAACCAAGACATCTAACTGACGATCCTCCGCTTGCCAAGTATACCGGGTACTTTGTATATGATCGCATTTTGTTTTGCAGGTGCAGTTACCGGTGGACTATTTATTCTAATAGCGGGCTATTTCAAGAATCCTGATGCTGTGATAGGTTGCATGTGCGTTAGCGGAACTGCCCTCGGATTGGTTTATGCGGGCTTCCAAGTAAACATGTTAGATATAGCGCCGAGAAACGCGTCTATCGTCATGGGCATCGTGAACGCGGCCAGTAACACCGCTGGCTTTCTCAGTCCCATGTTGGTTGGGTTCATAACGCATCACAAGGTTCGATCCACTAAATAGCTTTGCTCGGCTGATAGTATCACTCTGTTGTGTGTCTTTTCCATGTGTGTCATGGTACTCCTCCCTCCCGTGTACTAGAGGTTTATTTACGAGTTCTCAACCAGCGCATTCTTCGCGCCGTTAAAGAGATGAACGGGGATATCACAAGTTAACGAAGTGTATTCTTTTTATGTAATTGATTAATTGGTAACAACTGTCTACTCTGCCTGGAATACGATGAATTTAAAAATTATGATGATTACAAAAAATATGATGAGAAAGGTCTATTTAAGATCCCCTCTAGGGGCTTCTTCGCGTCGTTTAAGAGATGAATAGTGATATCACAACTTGAGGGAGTGTATTTCCTTTTATGCCATAGATAATCTATAATAACTTTCCATTCTACCTGGTGTGTGATGATTATAATAATAATGATTATGAAGGTTTATTTTCAAGACCCACCCAGTGCATTCCTCGCACCGTTAAAGAGATCAATAAGGATCTCACAAGTTAAGAGAGGGGGTTTCTATCATGTAGTTGATAATTCATAACAACCGTCCACTCTATCTGGGGTATTATGGTTATTATGATAATGATTATAAAGGTTTGCTTACAAGTTCTCAACAAGCTCATTCTTTGCGCCGTTTAAGAGATATATAAGGATATCACAAGTTATGGGAGTGTATTCTTTTACGTTTTAATTGATAACAACTGTCCGCTCTGCCTGGGGTATGATGATTACAAAAATTCTGATGAAAAAGGTTTATTTACAAGATCCCCTCTAGGGGCTTTTGCGTCGTTAAAGAGATGAATAAGGATATCACAATTTAAGGGAGTGTATTTCCTTTTATGTCATTGATAATTTTAAAACAACTGTCCACTCTACCTGGCGTATGATGATTATAATAATAATGATGATAAATGTTTATTTACAACACTTCCCGAGTGCATTCTTCGCTTATTTAGAGCGTAAAAGAAATTGTTGCAAGCTATTTCTTCACTTTAAGAATGTATTTTCACCTGCTAACCTAGCTAGGTCGCCGCTCGAAGTCAAAGAAATTTCCACATTAGTTCAGACAAAGCTTTCCATGGGGAATGAACATGAATCTGTGGATATTTAATCTCGTCTGTTCAGCTGTGTACGGCATAAACCGAATTTCAGAGCCAGATTTGAAAGCTGTTAGCTTTGCCGAAAAGATAGCAGGACAAAAGCTGAACGGAAGCCTGATAAAAGAAATAGATGTGGATTCGGAAAGTTCCTGTCAGCTTTAGTGTGTGGATGAAGAGCGATGTCAGTCTTACAACTTTGGAACCCAAAAGGGCGACTCAGGGAAATTCAAATGTCAGCTAAGCGACTCTGATCGATTTGTTGGATTTGCTAACTTTACCGAGGTTGAAAATTTCATTTACAGAGGAATAAAGGTATGCTAAATCTGTCTTTGTGCATCAAAAATTAATTAATTGCACCTCAATGTTTGAATCTTTATGTTCATAATCGTAGCTGTAGCTCTATTTCAGCGCCTTGCATGATTCTTTCTGAAGCTGTGCTCCACTTAACATGGCTGGGAATTAGCGCGGCATTTCGATTGATCGATTGCGTTCGGGTGCAAGGAAGCGACAGCAGGTAGTTGCTGGTTAAGACAGGAGCGAGGTTGTTTCACATCATGGGGGTGAACTTGCAACGGTAGAAGTTGAGCGAACTTGAAATGGCGCGAAACCTCTATAAATTACATGGCACCCTCGGGCACAGGACTTACAGAATTGTTTAACACAATGAAAAACGTTCAAATGTCGTACAATTTCTTAAGTGTCATAACTTTCATTCTTGGAATATTCAAAATAGAAAACCGTTCATGCACTGAGTCTCTATCTTCCTGCATATAAAATCGACGAAAGAACTTAAAATTAAAAAAAGACAAAACGTTTTTATCAATGTTTGAAAAAACATACGTTTCTCTATTTTCCTTCCCTAATGTTAGAGCATCTGCGAAGGTGACCCGTGCAAAGAAAACGAATTATGTGTCGCAAGCTACACATCAAAAACTCACTTGTGTAAGTGTATCAGAGGTAAGTGGAGACCCGGTAGATTTTTGTAGTTTGAAAGAAGCCCATGTCCTAATTAATCAAGGGATACGTTGTCATATGTTACCTCGATACAGGACAGCAATGTTCTGAATGTTACTTTACGTAATCAATGAGGTGCTCAGTTAACACAGTAGGAAGTTTTTCAAATACTAATAGCTATGGGGCTTGGGAAAAATACCACACAACTCGCAAAATATTGCGCGTATTATATTGCGCGTATACTATCGACTAAAGTGTATTCATAACAGACGGTAACTTGACTACTTGCTGTTTACATTTAAAGATTGCCCCAAGAGCTGTCTTGACTATTATCAAAATGGTTCCAAAACTGACGGTGTGTACCGGGTTTACGCTGATGAAGAAGAACCCTTTCAAGTGCTGTGTGACATGACAACTGATGGCGGAGGCTGGACCACCTTTCAAAGGCGCATGGATGGCTCTGTAGACTTTTATGTCGCCTGGGAATCGTACAAAAAAGGCTTTGGAAATCTGAAGGGCGAGTTTTGGCTCGGAAACGATTATCTTCACCGTCTGACTGCATCTGCTAACATGGTGTTTCGAATCGATATGGAGGATTACGAAGGTCATCGAAGATTTGCCGAGTACACGACTTTCTCCGTGGCCGACGAAAGCGATAATTATCGGGTGACAATCGATGGATACCGAGGCACCGCAGGTGACTCATTAGCTTCAACTCAGCCCATCAGGTATGTGGCTGGCAATTCGTTTACCGATGTTAGAAGAATGAAAATTGACATTGAGAAATTTATCAGTGGAGCGCTGCTGCTCAAGAATGCGTGACTTACCGTTCACTTGACGAAGTTGAAGATCCTTAAACTTAACTTTATAAACTTCTCCTTTGCCTCATGTTTTAGGAACAACTTCATGTATATTATTGACCATGACTGCCCTTTTTAAATTGGTCATTGACATTGACATTGCTCCTTGCAGCATGATTTACTTTTTGTGCACTGCTTTGTACACAGATTTCCATGATTTTTCTTCTTCACTTTCCTTCTCATGCCTTCAGCAACATTGCTACCCACCCAGCTTCTTGTCATTTTTTCACGAAGTTGTTGTTGTTTTTCTTTTTTTCAATTTAGAAATATGAACTTTACAACCAGAGACAGAGACAATGACGCTAGTGACGTTGGAAACTGTGCAGAGTATTTTAGAGGTGGCTGGTGGTATAATAGCTGCCACAGGGCAAATCCAAATGGCTTGTACCAAGGCGGAAGTCACGCACAAGGAGTTACTTGGATCTCATTTCGAGGACTAGATTATTCGCTTAAGCGCACTGAGATCAAACTTCGACCAGCATGATTTTTTAATTGTAGAAATTGCGTCTTTAAGCTCTCAGCCACATATGTATGTAACTGTATCTTTCACGAATTAGAGACATCTATCAAGCCTACAGTGATTCTCTGTTAGCTTTTGATGATTGTTATATTTCCTTTAGCGGGGTGGCATCAACCGAGACGGAGTTTTATCGCGTTTAATTATAAGGATGCTGCAAGTTTTATTTACTGCAGTGCAGTAGGACAAACGCAAACAAATAGATTAGTAATTTTAAACTGGATCATTTCAGCTGCCGACTTGTCTCTCCTGAGCCAACTTATAAAGTTTGTAATCGATTTTTGGTAGCAATGTATGGAAATGAGTTGAATGTTCATAGAGTCCACCTGGGTGCTATAAAAGTTGTTCCTCGACGAAGTCATCAGTTGGTATCGCATAATTTGTTTTTCTCGAGCCCTTGTTTTAACAAAATAAATTATTAAATACAAAAAAAGGCGAAATATACCACACGATATGGAGAAATTCCTGAAATGAGTTCACTAATCCTTTTCCAATCTTACTACTGCCTTCATTTAACAGAATTGCGCTAATTCGGCTTGCTTTTGCTAAGGTGATACAGCTATCTTTTTTTTTTGTCGTCCGAGCAAGCACTAGAGGTCATAATTGTGACTGGAGGTGCCCTCCGAAACAAGTTCTGGTGTAATAGAGGTTTAGATCTGACTACTGGCTAGAAGTACTGTGCAAGCTTTACAGCGTGGCTGGTCACGCAAACTCTGAAAAAGTAGTAGCCCTCCTGTTGCTAACTACGAGTTTTTCTGGAAATCCCGTTGGTGCGCTACGAGTTAATAAGTAAGTAAAAAAGAAAAACAAAAACAAAAAAAAGAAACAGAGAAATTGCAGAGGGTATGTCCAGTAAGGCCTGGTGTCTGTGTAGTGTTCTCCTAATTCTGATAAAAGTCACGCTCTCGTGTGTAACATCCTGTTTACCTGAAGTTAAGGATTCACCATGGCTGATGACGACTACGAGAGACTAGTGCCACTCTACTCCCGGCCAAAACTCGTAGTCGTAGTCAGATATAAGGTACTCTAATATCCGAGAGGCAATGGTTCGATTCCCGTCGTAACCTTATCATTTTAGGCTTCTCTGCTATTGCTAAAATTGCAGGTCATTTCCTCCTGTAATCCTAATGCCGTTGTGTGATTCGATGCCAAGACAATAACCAAATTAACAATTGTGTGGCTGCAAATGACGATTATATTTTGAAGGACGTAAAACATGCATATATATTGGGAAGTTAATGGTTAAATGATGTGAAAAAATCAGCAGTGGCACCTCTTTGTTTCAACTCGAAGGTTGTTATTAATTATGAATCGGGATAGCTTTAATTGGTTTAATTCGATTAGTTTAGATCCACCTCATTGTTAATTCAGCGAGTGCGATATCAGTCGAAGTTAGCATAGGAAAAAAGAAACATGTATCTACGGGCCCTACTGATGTTTTCACTTATGGGCCTTGCAGAAGCTTCAAATCGTTTTTCGGAGCCAGATTTTAAATCTGCTAATTTCGCAAAGGCGATAAACGATCAAAAACTCAACGGGAGTGTCCTCAGAGACTTTGAAGTAGCATCTGAAATATCTTGTCAGTTTGAATGTGTCTCTGAAGATCGATGTTTGTCATACAACTTCCTTCCCATCCACGATAAGGAGACAAGTAGATGTCAGCTAAGTGGCTCG